CCACCGCGACCCTGGCCGCGCCCACCCAGACGCAGACGCAACAACTGCAGCCGTCGGCCACGCAGCTGGCGCTGGACATGTACCATGGCTGTCTCAAGGATCTGAGCATATCGTGTGTGCGTCCCAAGGCGCTGCAATGGTTCAACGCAGCGCTGCAGCAGCCGGAGGTGAGGCTGACCGAGCGTCTGTCCCTGGTGCGTCTATCCGAATCCGATTCGGAGCCGAGCAGACGCAGCTCAGGTCGCAGCGCTGAGCAGCAGCTGTTCGATGGCATTGACAACTATTTGGCCAGCCATGCGCTGAGAATTCAGGCACCCGAGTATTTCCGCAGCTCCGAGGCACGCGCCCTGGTGCCCGATTTTCTGCTGGACAATCCGCTGACCCAGGGCGGCCTGGTGCCGCTCGCAGCTGCCAATGAGGGTGAGTAGCGCCCATCTTATCTTATCTCAGCTTTAGCTAAATACCCCTTTCTGCCCCCACTTAGGACGCGGCATGATACGCAAGGCTGTGCTACCCTTCCTGCTGGGCCTGAAGCTGAAGACAACCGTGCTGATGCCGCTGGCTTTGGGTCTGATCGCCCTGAAAACCTGGAAGGCGATGACACTGGGCCTGCTCTCGCTGGTGCTGTCCGGCGCTCTGGTCATATTCAAAATAGCCAAGCCCAAGATTGTTAACTACGAGGTGGTGCACTATCCGCACCATGTGGATCATGTGGTGCCGCATCACATTGAGCATATTGTGCCGCATCATATCGAACATCATCTCGATCATCATTTGGACCATCATCTGGACCATCATCTGGATCATCATGTGGATCTGCCGGTGGAGCATATTGAGCATTTGGAGCATCCGGCGCCCGCCTGGGATCCGCACGCCTGGGCACGTTCCGCCCAAGAGCCGCAAGACGCACAGGACATGGCCTATGCGGGCCAAAAGAGGCGTTGAACCCGGAACCGTAACAAGCTACGACTTTATTAATTTTGGCTCTATTTTAAGTAGTGCATAGTCGTATTGTTTTTAATTATTTATTTATTTATTTATTATTTATGAGAATTGTACAAAACAAAAAAAAAAAAAAAGCATAAGAAAACAAGAGGAAACCCATAAAAGGAAAGAGGATGAATCCAAATATGTGTCTTTTGCAGACAGGTCGGGCAACTCTGGCAAATATTTATGCAATAAAAACTATGTAAAAGTCATTTGGCTAATTGAAGGGAATTGGACGCAAAGTTTCTCGGGGCAACACGAGCGAGTGTAATTAGGAAATGTAACAAGCTCTTAATTAGGGCACTTGGCCTAACTTGCTAATGCAGGCATTAGCCGGGCTCCTTAACGCACTTAACCTTTTGACCAAAGAGCGGACAGCTACGGACCGTAAATGACGACTTGTTGAGCCAACTCCAGCTGGGGTTATTAGCAGCTGGCAGCTTGGACAAATTGAAACAACGAGCCGTGGCATTAAAGTATTTGCAACAAATCTGGAGCGCAACGTGCCACAGAAACGTGAAAGCGGCAGGGTATTCAATTTGTTTGCATTTCTTTTTTTGGCATCAGTTAAGCCTCTGATATTTTTCTGTATGCTCTTCCCAGTTTTTCAAGCACCCACACGTGGCAATTGGGAAAGTGGCAGCGTGGACAACAGCGACAACAGCGACAACTGCTGCGTGCAACAATGCAAAATGGCGCTGGCGCCGACAGCAGACGCCGCAGCAACCGCAGCGGAGACAGCAACAGCAGCAGCAACAGCGATGACAGCAACGGACAACTAAAACGAATGGCCACGCCGAAGCTTAAATACCCTTGCACACAGCAAAGGAAAGTCGCTGGTACAACTGCCTGCTTTAAGATGCGTTTTGATTCTTGAACCTGCTTTTACAAATTCTCTCACTTAGGTTCAAACTTAACATTTGACAATTTACATAAAAGCCCAGCTTCAAGCCCAGCTTCAAGCCCTAAAACGGTAAGTCGCTCGTTCAACTACCATTTTTTCGCATTTTCGCACACAGGTTCAAACTTTAGCTTAACAATTTTGTCGATATTTTAAAAAAATTAGTGTCATTTTTGCATTAATTGCCTTTTTTAATGAAAATATTTCAGGCTGTAAATATACATATTATTTTTATAGGGAAGGCTAAATAGCTCTCGCTCGCTCTCTCTCTCTTCCTCTATGTCCCTCTCTCTCCCTCTCTCTCTCTCCCTCTCTCTCCCTCTCTCTCTCGCCCTCTCCCTCTCTCTCCCTCACTCTCTGTCTGTCAAAATAAACATTTACCACACAGGATACATGCAATGTTTGGGGCACAAGTTATTTATATTTTTAACTGAGTTGCCCTCAAACATTTTTAATTTTAACCAAACCGAACCTTATATACTGTTTATATCTGAAAAATATGCAAGTTTCGGTTCGGCTGTTTTTGGGGCAATTGGCTTGGCTCAAAGTTTGGCCAATGAGTAAAAAACTATTGTTAGAGTTCTGTGTTCAAGCCGGTTCGACTTAGGATCAACATAGAGCCAAAACTAGAAAACCATATTAAAGCTAGATGAGATGATAGATGAGATCCTAGTATGTCACACATTTAATCAGAAAACTATTGTACCCTCTACAAGAGTATGCAGAGTATGCAATATAGTGTATATGGCTTCGCTGGCCGGCCAACACTTCATTGATATTTAACTTGGCTGCCATCGTTTGTCCGTTTCTACGCAACAATTTGAAATGTGAAAAAAAAACAACTTTTCCAATTTCATTGGCAAATGTCGGGGGCTTCTGTGGCTGCCAAAATGCGCTCGGAATTGCAAATCAAGCGCCAATGCGTGGTGAAACTTTGGCTTCAAACAAACACACAAAAAAAAAGGGTTTAAAATAAAAAACAAAACAAAAAAAAAAAACAAGCAAATTGCTCTGATATCAATTCCATTTTCGTGGCAGCGCAATCAATATACGAAATTCATAATTTACATGTTGCAACGCGAAATATATCGAAATTCAGCGCATGTCTCTTGCATGTTGGGGCTGTGGTCAGCTTGGCGGAAGGGTGAGGGCGGAGGTGCTGTATCTTTGGGGCATCTGCTGTCACTTTCGCTTTCGTTAGGGCAATGAAAAACACTTTCTATATCATTGGCATGGGCTCAATGTCGCCGAGCTGTTGCTCAATTTGGGCGCTGAGCTAACTCAGCTTTAATTATTAATTATGATTTTTTTCTCTGTGCGTTAATTGCCCAACTGAATTTCAGCTTGCACAATTTGACGTATAAAATATGCGTTGCATTTGTTTTATGAATAGTTTTTAGCGACCACCGAACGGCTTATGAGCTGCGAGCTGGTTGTCAAAAGTGTTGCCTATATTTCTGCTTGCCACACGATGTGGTACTTGTGAGGCATGCCGCATATCTGTTGTTGGCTCCAAGCTAAATAGTTCCTGATTTTTCTTATGAATTCATCTTTATCATGGCACTCATATAGATTAGGCTTGGCATTAAGAACTATTGAATAGCTATAGACGAACTAAAGAAAAGATTATAAAAAGCTATTGATTAGCCATAAAAGAGCTTAATATGCTTTTAATCACAAGCTCCATAAAAATCGTTTGAAACTCCATCAGAGATGCTTTTCTCAGCAGCAAATCGCTTACTTAACACGTCTAAGCTGTTGGATTATTGATCAATTTTATCATCAATATTTCTATATATTTATGTGCATATTATATTGAATGCTTTAAAGATAGAGTGGTTTTTTTCTTTCATCAGCTATCAAATACTTTACATTTTTTAGATATTCCAAGGAATATTGTTATATACATATATCCGAAAAAGCCTTAGTGAGAACTACGTTCAGAGTTAGTTTACAGCCTTTAACCTGAAGATAAACCTTGTGGCTTCTTTCCTATTTTAACATTTAAATTATATAATTCATAAATATAGCCTTATCTTAAAATATATATTCGATTTTTAAATATAGACCTCATAAGATGTTGCACACTATTTGGTATACCCTTGAAATTAACAGTAGAACACTTCATATGCTATAAGAGGCTATGCCCGAAGACCCCGAACTCAAAAGTTGATACTACAAATCACACTTTGATAGACTATTATTAATAACAATAAACGTTAAAAAAATAAAATATAATTTTATTATTAATTTTATTAAATTTTAAAATTTGTAGTCTGTTAATCGAACATCAACTATCACCTAGGCCAACAAAGCAATAAGCTGATCAATAATGGCTTCTATCAAGGTTAGTTAACCCATTTGCTGCACTCTTCTCACTCCCTACCCCCTTACCCTTCGCTCTCCCACTCCCACACACTCTGCAGACCTTTTTTTGGAGACATTAAAGCGTGCAATTGAAAAACTAATTTAACCATAAAAAGTCAACTTAAATGGCGCCCTTAATAGCATTAGCAGCTCTTTTCGAGTTTTCTACAATTTCCTGCAGCGACAATTTGGCGTCTCGGACCTTGTTTGATGAAATGGCAGCAGCAAGGAAAATGCATTTAATAACAAAGCGAAGTTAACCAAATGAAATGCAGACAGAGCGCCGGCACGCGTTTGAAATAAAAGCGCATTAAGTATACGACACGTGGTGCCCAGGCACGCACACGCGCTGCCACAAAGCCGCAGCAGAGCCACAGGCAGAGGCAGAGCCGGAGACAGAGGCAGCTACAACAATGCTTTCTGGTTGTTGTTGTCGTTGTTGTTGTTGTTGCTGTTGGCGCTCTGCCTCTTTCGGCGTCTGCTTCATTTATGTCTTCTTCCGCCATGTTTCTTTCTTTCTTTCTTTTTTTTTTTGCTCGCACGACCACAGCCAGCCCAAGAGCCGAGCGTCGAGTCGTTGAGTCGTCGCAGCGCCGCTTCAAAAAAAAAACATTGGGCAAGTATAAAAATCGTGAACAATAGAAAAACGATTATTAAACTCAATTGTGCCAGCATTGAGGCGAGTTGTGTGTGTGAGCCCCAGCCGAGTCGAGACCACAAGTCAACCAAACAAATACACAACAAAATGGCCAAATTGCTCCTGCTGGTTGTTGTTGGCCTAATGGCAGCCCTGTCGGCCGATCAGGCGCAGGGCACCAATGCTGCGCCGCAGCTGCAGCGCCTGATTGCCGAGGAGCAGAGCAAATGCGCCACGGGCCAAGATTCGATGGCGTGCATCAAAGAGCGCGCCATGCGCTTTGTGGACAATGTGCTCAGCAAAGATAGCTACACGGTGAGCCGCGACATTCTACCTCCTCTCTCTCGCCCTCTTTTTTATAGTTGATATGTCTCTTGCAGCTGGCCAATCTGGAGGTGAGCAGCAATGGCCAAAAAGTGGCCGCCGTTAGCGAGGCACGGGCCAGCACCAGCGACGGCTTCCTGGATGCCATTGAGAACTATATGCGCGGACACGATGTGAGCATGAATCTGCCCGTGGCCGATGCCAAGATCACCGTCTCGGCCCGCAATCTGGCCAACGATGAGCTGAGCTTGAACCTGCAGCTGAACAACGCCGTTGATGATGATGCGTCCGATATCGAGGCCAGGGGTAAGAAGGGCAACATCTTCAAGAAGGGTGGGTTCATTGTAATGTGTCTTAATTGCAATCCTCACATAAACATGAACTCTTCAATTAGGCAAGAAGCATCGTCTACGCAAGCTGGCCATGCCCATACTGGTGCTCATTCTGCTGAAGGCCATCACTGTCATACCCATGGCCATTGGCATACTGAAGATCAAGGCATTCAATGCGCTCGCGCTCGGCTTCTTCTCGTTCATTGTCTCGGTTGGTTTGGCCATTTTCCAATTGTGCAAAAAGGTAAGCCCAATCAGCTATTAAAACCGCATCTCTATTGTCTTTTAGGCATTCGCGGGCTGTGGTAATTAGTGCGAGTTAGGGAGTTGTGAGTTGAAAAAGAGGGCGACGGGTAAATTCTAATAATTACATTAAATAATTGCATTCACATAGCACGTATGTATAGTTTCTCCCCACCCTAAAAAGGGGCGCGTGCGCTGGGTAAGTGTCGAGTCCAAAGTCCAAAGTAATCAAACCCGACTCCAAAACCCACGCCCCATCACAACAACACACTCCAACCCCCTATACAAAAAAAAAAAAAGCACCTACTAAAAGCCAAACCCAAAAATGTGCCAACAATTATAGCCTATAGCCAAAGCAGCTGCACATATTTCTAAGCCATATTTTCTTGCCCTTACCACCCCGCCCACAGATTGCCCATGATCACCATCATACCGCCCACATCACCGCCCACGGGCCGTGGGATGGTCGCAACTTTGGCGGCGCCGCGCCCGTCGTGGAGCAGCCGCAGCATTTGGCCCAGGAGCTGGCCTATCCGGCGTACGCCTAGGCGCCGGCGAGCGTATTCCCCAACAGCTGAAAGCTGAAGCCACAAAACGGGCCACGAAAATTGTTGTTAATTTGTTAAAAATTTTCCTATTTGTTTTTGTGACTTGATTTGGTGAAAACTGAGCGCGAGGCTGCGCCGCATCCTTAAGACCCTATTTATAATAACTATTTATTTATTTATTGAAAAACACAAATAGTAAGAAACAAAAAATAAAAAACAAACAGAAACCAAAACAAAATAAACCAGCTAAATAAATGCCTTAAAAATTGAAGCATAGTAATTTTTCGATTTTTTAGAAAAGCTTTCTTCATTCAAAAAATACATTTTCTATCGGGAAAAATAGTTGCAAATATTTTGCTTACGTAAAAACACACAAGAAATCATTTTTCTAAATTATTTTCTTCCATTTTCTAAATACAAGTAAATTAAGTTTTGCTGATATTGAGCAAAATCTTCATTTCATAGCAATTTTCTTAAACAGTTTTTTTTTTCAAGTGTACCCACAGCTGCCCCTTAATTAAGTAGGTCGTCCGGTAGCCGGGCCAAGTGAATTATGTATGGGCCAAACACATTGGGGCCATCCTAATTAGCCAACATTTCAGTGGGCTCGAAATTCTTTGGCGCAACGCATCTAATTGAATATTCCAGTCAAATGCGATTGACTCGATTCATTTGATGAACTGTCTTTCAATTTTAATTTTTAAGTTTCTGCTTTTCACTTGCCGCGATGAAAGTTGCCCGCTGAAAGTGAAAGTCTTTAAGTATTCTAATCGATAAGGAGCCAACGACACGAACTGAAGCGAATATGGCAAAAAAGGCCTGAACAAAAAATAGGGAAGAAAAAAAACAGAAGCCCGCCCCAAAATTCTTGAGCCTGGTCAATTTCAACACAATCGGCTGCATTTGAATTTAATTTAGACAAAAAAGAAAACAAAGGCAAAATCGACACGCATGTTGGGCCCATTTCGGGTCCATAAAGCGCAGCTGGGCCATATTGGTCGAGGCTGGAAAAACCTTTAAGAACTCAAGCGAATATTTTCTTGCAGCTACCCCGCTGTGTATGCCGCCCACCCATGGGCGAGTGGGTGGCAGCAGTTGGCCGCTTGCTTTAGTGCCACGCATCGCTTTCATAACAATTTGGCATTCAGGAGGACGTTGCACAGCCGCACGAGCATATGGAAATTGATTGCATGTTTACACTTTTTGTTTTTTTTTTTTCGTTTTATTTTTCTTCCCTTTGACTGTTTTTTCGACAATTGTTTTAAGTTTTGGCACGCATCGCGGCGAGACGTTGAAAATTTCTTTTATTGGGTGATAACAGATCGTTTGACGATGACAAAGTTGACACCTCTTGCATTATTCACGTTATCAGTTAGGTAATCTACGAGTGTTGTCCACAATTACCTCCCTGGCAGTGAATTGCTTGATGCGTTTCGATACCCTGAACCCACTGAAAATGTGTAGAGAGGGCATATTGATTTTTTGAAAAAGGTTTTAACCGGCATCAAGAGCCCTCTCCGATTCCATGAAGTACATATTCTCTTGATCCGAACGAGTAAAGTCGATAAATATCGAGAGATATGGGTTTTTATTATAAATCAAATACTATAGGAGCTAGCTACAAAAAACTTGGTATGTAGATTTTCAGAAGATGAACCGAGTCCACTGTTTTTTGGGTGTTATTCTAGGATACTGTTATTTTAATTATTTCTTCGATATATCCTGTCGATAAATATCGATTTTGTGATGTAGTTTTTTAAGCATTACTGAAATATTATTAGTAATAAGTAGCTACAATAAACTTGATATGCTGATTCTCGTATAGTATTCGAGGGTCAATTTTTGGAAACTGAAACCCCTTCAGGGGTTCACTAGCTTCAGGCAGAGACAATATAAACGAAATATAAACACAGTATAAAATATATAAAAACAGTTTGTATATTGTTCAGGCTCAGGGTAACTCCTGGTCGGGTGCTAACAAATAGAAAAACATAACATAAAATGTTGTTTCAGAGATAGATAACAATGTAATTTTGCTCCACAATTTCGATAAATGGGAGCTTATGTCAAACATAAGGAAATGTTAAGTTGAACTTAAAATCCGGTAAATTAGTTTGCGGACAACAAATAGTACAAACTCTGTATAAGAAATAAGTCCTATAAAAGGCCAAGACTCGATTCATATTGAATTTCACATTCCAAAAGCTTCTCTCTTAATGACACACTTTTGAACACGCCCAATAAAATGTGTGTGAAATATTTCAATTATCAACAATATTTATCTATAGGAAATGAACGTGTGTGGCATCTTATTGTTTTAATAAAACAATAAGTTATTGCATTACCATTAGGTTAATTTATAACAGATTGTTTAGCTGGAAAGATAACTTTGTAGAAAACTAAATATCCTTTTCAACATGCCATCATCGTATTTATTTATATTTATTTAGTTGAAGCAAGTAAATAAACTAATATAAAAAAAAAAAAAATAAAACAAGTGCTACTAAGAAAACTTTTGTACTGGCTATAGAACTTAGTTCATTAAAAGTAAAAGCCTCTTAAAAGAACTTTGCATGATAAGTGGATTAATTCCTTTAGTTGATTAATTCCTTTACTTTTAGCGGCCCACATTTAAAGCTGGCTGAAAAGCATCGCCCCCAAAAGAAACGTATCGGTAATATATGTGTCGCAAGTCTATTTCGTAATCCCCAGAAACAAGCAAAATAACAATAACTCAATTCGCAGTTCCGCATAGACAAAAAAAAAAGCAGAAAATGGCCTAATACACGGCAAATGGTCAAATGGCCAATACCAAAGCGTAGACGAGTTCCGTACTGATTTCTTGTATCGAAATTTGACACAATACGCTGAAAAATGTACGTGCCCTGGACCTGGGTCTGTCGCGGACTCCGTCATGGCTCTGGGTCTGGCTTGGGACTGGCTTTCATGTGTACGCGTAAGAGTTGAGGGCTCGCATACTAATTGGGCGAAACAAAAAGTTATTTTCATCGGCCATCGATAATGCAACATTGAGCACTGACCAGCTGACGAGGGGGGGGCTGACAAAAAAGAGGAGGGAGGGGGTCTACTTGGCCGTTATGGAAAGCGAGAAAGCCAGAGGAGTCAGCCGGTCAACCCACATATCAAAAACAGCCGATCCAACCGTTTGGTGAAAAACTTTGGACACCACGAAGACTTTGGCTAAGGTTCGGCAACGGCTTTCGTCACTGTCCAAAAATATTTGTGCGCTCCAAAAAGAAAACAAACTTTTGAATGCACCAGTTGCCGGACAAGTACGCGTCTCTTTTTTACCAGCGCCCGAGGAGCGGCAGTATAAAATCGTCGGTACTGGCCAATTGTTCAACATTGTCGTCGCAACGGCAACGCAGTGAACACAACGCGCTCTGGTCGTATTTATATATATAAAGATATATATAGCGCGTGGATAACTGTGACTGTATAGTTGTAAATCTGGTGAAAATGGCACAACGTTTCACATCCTTCGCCGCGTTCGGTTGTTTGCTGCTGCTGGCGGTTTCTGTTCAGGGTGCTGCCATTGATAATGGGGTCACGCCGCGCATTCACAGCTCCGATGAGCTAATCTCGACGATTGTGGATAAGTGCTTCCATGCCAATGCGATGCATTGTCTAAAGGAGAAGGTGCTCACCTATCTGGACACAGTTGCCAATGTTGAGGAGGAGGTCAGCGGTCGTGCCTTCGATGATGATGTCATCGACAAGGTCATCGTGGATCGTGTGGCACGCATTCTGCGCACAAACGAGCTGCGCGTCCAGCTGCCGGAGACCTTCTTTGCCAGCTCCGTGATGACCTATCGTGCGGATCGTGGCTTCGATTTGGAGCTGCCCCAGGTGGAAGGTGCGTCAGCCTCTGATTTGGCCAAAATTCATAATACTAACTTAATTGTTTGTTTTGTGCTCATTCTCCAGGCCGTGCTGAGAAGAAGAACAAGGACAAGCTGTTCCTGCCTCTGCTGCTGCTCATGAAGCTCAAGCTGAAGGTCGTCATGCCCATTCTGCTGGCTCTGGTCAGTCTGAAGGCCACCAAGGCATTGATCTTGTCCAAGATTGCCATTAAGCTGGTGCTCGGCTTCCTCATCTACAATCTGATCCAGAAATTGGGCGGCATGAAGATGAACATGGTGCCCATGCCAGCTCCAATGCCAGCGGTCGAATACGGCGTGCCCAGCACCACGGCCTCCTCGTACGATCCCAGCAGCTGGGAGCCGCAGAGTGGTGGCCCATATGCGCGTTGGGACTCACAGAATCTGGCCTATAGCTCGTATCATCCCAGCAGCTCATCCTCGTACAGCTCGGGCTCAACGTCGGGCTCCACGGCGGGCACCTCCTCCAGCTACAGCTCCTCATCTTAGATCTTAGCTCGCACCGCTCGCCGCTGTTAATGTACATACCAAGGAACTGAGTGCCACTGAGCCCCTCTGCCGCAGGGGCGTGGCACTTTGAGTAAGCAGACCAAATGGAACCGGAACATGCCTAGGCCATAAAATTAGTTTCTTAAGTTTAAGCGCTCGACTTTTAGCCATTCTATTTATTTCCCCACTGCACACACCGCCGTCTCCTATCGATTCTTTCCTATCGACTTCTCTTTACTGCTTTGCTTTCTCTCACTATGCATTCTCCCCTTCGCACTTTTCCCATTTTCTTTAACAGAAATCGACCAAAAATCAAGCAACTTTATTGAAAATATTATTTATTTAATTTATTAAAAATTGCAAAAATTCAAATTAAATTCATTTAAAAACCGTGTCTTTATTTTTTTTATTTCTCCCAGCTGAACATTGTTCTCTTAATTAAACTGACCCAGACGGACGTTTGTAAATCGGGCAGACTTTTAAATACCCTGTCTGAAGATAGGTAGAGAAATTATCGCCTTACTATGAATATATTTTCCAAATTATTATAAACTCAGAAACTGAGTTGGTTGTGAATAGCTAATTATTGGAAATAGTTTTAGTACCTAG